TCTGGATATGGCTGTTTACGAGCCTACCTACACCGCTTAAAGCACAACACTTCGCCGGATTGCCCATATTGTTAGAACGAAATCGAAGATGCTGAGCACGTGTCCTTCGTGTGCCCGTGATTTAGTGCACTACGGAACGGTGTAGCGGAAATATTTAGCCGATGAATTATTTCAGATACCCTTGTAGAAGAATGCTGACTACGCCTTAGACACATTGACCGCCACCGACGTGTTAAATAGACTTGTTATCTTCGGAAAGAAAAAGAAATGCCTAACGGCGCTTTCCGTGGGGACCAGATGCAAGTCCGATATACCCACACGAATAACCCAGCCTGAGATGCATAAACGCATTTCCTTCGCTATACAAAAAAGCACGCACGCACAAACATACACACACACATATATATATATATATATATATATATATATATATATATATGAACAAAGAACCCTCCCTTTATACGGTACTCTGGGAAAATGGTTTCCATACTACGCGAATCCGAAAATGTGACATTCCTCGGAAGATGGAGGATTTTCTCCTACAACACGCTACTTCTTGTATGTATATATATATATATATATATATATATATATATATATATATATATTATAGTAGACATTGAGACCTTTTTTCTTACACACACTAATTCAAAACTCGCTTCTGCCTATAAATACATATGCACTTCCAACTAAATACGTGTATTGCTCATTTAAAACGAGGGTACCGTGCATCTGTTAAATTATTTTTCGCTGGAATGTTAGCACAAGTGTCTTTATTATTGGTATAAAGTTTGATCCTCACCCTCAATTATTTTGTTATTTACGTTCAATTACGTAAGTGACTAGCTTATGATTGGCGTTCTTCTATGAATGAAAACGTCGCCAAAGTCATGAAAGTGGTACTGGAAAGCTATCATTTAGGCTCTGTTCGTTAAGCTCGATTTGTTCCGAGAGAAAGTCGTTATGCGAAAAAAATGAAAATACAATTAATTCGTTCTGTATTTTTAAATTTGGCCATATGAATTTTATATAGGATTAAGACATTTAAAAATATTACCAATTAAAGAAATAAGTTATTATCAGAGTGGTAATGCTTCCTGTTTTGCCCTTTTAGCTTCTGAATTTTTATAGAAACCGTCAATAGTTGTTTCTTTTATTCTCTTCTTTAAAACCCACCGCAAATGATAGATAAGCTCATGATTGTACTAATTTTTGATCTTGGCATCTGTCATGTTTGAAAAGTAAACATTTACGAATTGCATTTGACCAAAAATTCCTTTATGGACTTTATGCACTAAAAATCTGCGAGCTAGTCTTTTCTTCCTAGGTTTTTGATAATCCACATTCAAACTTTTCTCAAGATCTTTAGAGTGTGAATGTAAAATTATTCAATAATGATTTAAATGTGAGTTTTTTGCCATCAATATCCATACCAACAAGTACGTATATTTTCACAGCGGGGAAAAACTCTCCAAAGTCCACTCTTTGAATTTATTTGAGCAACATATGTTTGGCTGCAAATAACAACGGATAAGTACGTCGTATGGAGCAAAAGTTCGGAAAGTTCGCGCCCGAAGAAAATGTTCGTCATGCGCAGCGTCCATTTTCCGAAGCCTACGTTATGCTGGGTACCACTGTGTGTACATTTGGACGCAACGGAGGCATTCTAAATGGGTCAAAACGGAATTTTTCAAGATTTAAACATAACATTTCGGCCAATGCACGGGACAGCAGAATTCATTTTAGAAGTATGGTTTCTTGAGCAAAGTTTCTTATTTTGATCCCTGATGTCGAAAATCATATGTGCCTTTTTGTAGTTAAATCAGAATTGAAATTTGGTAAAAAAAAACCTGCATTGACTAGAAGCAGGATAAAAAATCATTTGATTTCAAAAATAGTTATAAAAAGGGTTGTTGATAAAAATGTAAAAATTCAGTATGTATTTATAATGCCACATTATAAAAAAGATAAAAAGAAAACATTTCGCCCAGGAATTAAAAAAAAATAAGTACGAACAACCTTTATCACTTAGGTGTATGAAAAATAGATAGTCGCCGATTCTCAGACCTGCTGAATACGCATATAAAATTTGGTTAAAATTGGTAAAGCCGTTTCGGATGAGTACAATAATTAACCTTGTTGCATGGAATTATATTATATTATATATATATATATATATAAATATTTATATTACAAAGGGTCAAAATTATCGTCTATTTTGTGAGTGGATCTCAGTTTATTTCAATTAAAATATTTCTTGGCTTAAGGAGAAGGTAATTTTTTTCTTCGACAATAATTTATTTTTAATAAAGTATCAAGACAGTTTATTTTAGTTATACTTAGTATTGCCAGTGATGTGCAAATATTTCAGAAAGATAAGAGAAAAATGTGAAAATCAATGGTTTTTTATAAGAAACTAGGCACCATACAAATCTATGGCGAATATGTAAATTTTTACATAGACTTTTTGAAATCTCATTCTATTCTCTATGCATGAAACAGCATACTTCAAAAAAACATGTTCAAAGTCCCGTACTCCAAAAACGAATTAATTAATGAAATTGAAAATCTTACTGAGCCTAATCAATTTAAATGAAATAAATATCAATTTGCCCCGTGAACATTTATGAGTATATTTGTTATGGTTTTGTGAAAAAATTGGAACACAAAAATAATTCAAAAAAATCTTAGACAATTTAAAACTATGTTTACAGACCACATTTATACTTTAAAACACAATATAAACATTTTTAACGAGGCTATACTTCATTTCGAGGAAAATTTGTTTAAAAGAAGAATTATTGAGATCACTTCTGACTATTTATAACGATAGAACAATAAATAAACGCAATGAACTCAACATTCTGTGCGATGCCATGGATTATTGAATTTTCAGTTTTAATGCTAAGATTAACTAATTGTAAATACTTTTTTTTAATACTTATAATTCTTTATAATTCAATTTTTTAGCTTTTAAATTTTATTTTTAGTTTCAACCGAATGAAGGCTAGGATTATATCCAAAACGTATAGATGTGAAATAAATTCTTAAAGACCTTTGGAAACAACTCTTGTTCCTTACTTACTTTTGAAAAATGTTCTGAAAATTTCAAGTAATTCTACACTGTAATGCACATGCTCCGGCTAAGCCAGATTTCGGAATTCTAAATTTATGAATTACAGATGTCAAGAATTTAGTATAAATAAAAAACATATTTGTTTGGCCAGAAAGTGTAGGGTCTCGTGGGTCTCAAGAAACGTCACCTTGCTTGATAAAGTATATAACTTACGCTACAAACTGTAAAAAAATAATATTCAGATTCGTACACCGGGCAAAACAGATATATTAAAACTGTCAAGTTGATTAAAACTCGTGCAAATCACAGAAATAAGAATCTCGTGCGGGTCACCGGTGGCCCTCGCCGGCGTGAACGTGTTAATATAATTGGTTGATCAACCTTTACATTGAGCCTCCATTACTGACAGATTATTCACTATTTTTGTTATTAACTTTATATGCTAGACTGAGAGCTACTAAACCTTTTGAATAACTTGTTGCTGCATGACTAAAAAATAAAACCATCACCTGGCAGGTTTATTAAGCCCTGCACATCATAGTCCAAGCGTTTGAAAATGTAAAAAAATTAATAATAAACTGGTAAAGTCCTGGAGGCTTTAATTTTTTTTATACGATTTAATAATGTATTCAGTTAGATGTTCAAAAATCAAATTGCCAGGCGATTTAAACCTCCTAAGTACCTGCCAGGCGAGCCAAGTTTTATGTATTATAATAATCTTTGTTAAAATAAAATAAAGTTAAAATTTATTTGTGTTTGTTCTAAGCGATTCAAAAAAAATCTATATATATATATATATATATATATATATATATATATATATATATATCATACATCATATCTTGTTCGCTGTAACCCGGTTTAGTAGCAAAATAAATAAAATAAGGAATATAATAACACCTTTTAACAATCAAACTTCATCTAATCTAAAATTAGTAAAATGGCCGTACAATAGCTCAATAAGTGTGTTGAAATTAATGCAAAAGATAACTAATTTGATATTAATTGAGCGCGTACGTTCCATCAAAAAAAATTTTAGGCTTATCCACACAATATTTTTAACAAACACCCTTTATAAATAAAATGAGCATAAAATTTTAATAAGGATAACTTTGCATGTATTAGATATATAAATATCTTTTCGCTAAAAGCCAGTAATCGCAAATATATTTTTTTTGGCAAAAAATAATGTACGGATCTGGAGGTAGTACACAAAACTGCTCAGAGGATAACGATTTCTTGCAAAAAAAAGGATCGGGTTGGATAGCACTTGAATCATATCATTCATGTAACGTGTATAACATGTAACTTCTTAGATAAATCAAATAGAACAATGTTTATTATAAAATCGTGATATGCAGAATGTTTTCTTGAATTTTTGGAACGAAACCCTTCTTTTTGTACTAGTTCTTTGTTCCGTATAACACGAACTCTAGTTTCACATAATCAAATGAATTGAAAAAATTATGAGTATGAAAGCAGTTTTAATTCCAATAAAAAGTAATGTGACAGTTTATAAAATCATAAGTGAATTTTAAATCGAGCTTGTTCGATACTGGGATAGTTTATATATTACCACGTATCAAAGGGAAAAATGTTTGAGAAAAGATCACTCAAAAGATTAATGAACAGCCCCTAAAATGAAAATCACTAGATGTTAATAACTCTAGTCACTAGATGTTGTATGTTTCAATATATTTTTATATTAGACCTTATAGTTTATATTACGTAAAATGCACTTTATTTATAGCGCAGTTTCCATATTATTGATGATATATTATATTGATGTATCTATTTATGTACGAATATATGCATTATATATATATATATATATATATATATATATATATATATATATATATATATATATATATATATATATAAGTATACATAAATAATATTAATTATGAAAAATGGAGCTTACCTAGCTAAACGAAGAACTTCGGCTTCACTTCTTATACCACCGTCAGGGCGCAACAGAACGCTCAAACAATTCAAAAGTTGCAAAGGATCTATACGAGGCTGCAAAATAAATGTCATTCAAATTATATACTAATAATTAAAAATAATATGAATAAATTAGAATGCATTTATATATGATACGTCTATGATTTGAAAGTATTTACTTCTTCTATAAAAATTCAGCAAACATAAAAGTATAAATGAAGCATATTGAAATACTACATACATTCACTACATGTTGTATATTGATATGTAATGGACATATACTTAGTTTGGGTACTTTTCTATGTACTTTTAATAGCTGCATATTATAAGAATATGTTTGAACAGATCATTAAGATTGAACAAGTAACATCAACACATAAAAACTATGCAATTATATTGCCTAAAAATTCATAAATACTACAGAATATTAATAATAAACAAAATTAAGCTTGGCTAACTAGATGATTATTTTATTTTAAATACTGAAATGTTTGTGTTTATAATCTAAATGAAATAACTATTAAATATTATATATATATATATATATATATATATAATTATTTAATATGTTGGTATAAATGGCATCAATTATGTTAAAAGTCATACACAATACTGAACTGAGTTTTAGATCTTTATGCTGAACATTATAGAAAGTGCTGAATTCAACGATTGCTGCTAATGCAGACAATTATCGAGATGAAAAAATACAATTCTTAATATACATAAGAAGTACCAGAATAAAATTAATTGGTAAAAGTAAAGAATAACATTCTAAAATGTGATATTTATAATGCTAATTTTATATAATGAAATATTTATAATTAGCAAGCCAATACTAGCTTATTAATTATTTGTTATGCAAAACAAACTCGATTTATTTGAATATTTGAATATCATAAAATGTAAGACGTTTCCAGACTTGAAAAAAATTCTGATATAGCACAGAATATCTATACAAATTCCATTTTCAAGCATATCAATCTACAGTTCTTGATCTAATAATAGTGATAATGCAACAAGTTAGTGGATTTACATAAAATGTAGCAATATCAACAATATCATTACTGTATTACAACTTTTAACTTATTACTCAAATTGCTTGTATAAGTATGCATTCAACAATATGGTAGTAGAAAATTTGCCCAATTATTCAATGGTGGTCTTAAATAAAATATTTCTCACTAACTCGTACAATACAATATGGCATTGCATTTCTGTATTGATAATCTTGACACTTTTCAGATAATAAACTTATATGTGACAAATAAGTTAATAATACCTAATATAGATTAGATTAATAATTACAAGATTTTCAATGTGCAAATAATTTCAGTAATAACAATATTTTCATCGATAAATGTAATATTTTTAACTTATGTCCATAAACATAGCGAAAAGTTAAAATGAATTTAAATGGTAAAAATATAAGTAAAAATAAAAGTATATAACTGAATATATACAAAATGATCATTTAACCAAATAAATTGAAATATGAACACAAGATCATTTTACTGACTGTAACTTGTTTTCATGCAGTTATCTGTTATGTATATACAAGTAGTTTATTTAGATTACATATTACGAAAAATTGAGAGGAAACATGTGTAAGTCAATGAGAAGCAATGATACAATATAAAATAAATCGTAATTATTGAACATCAATTTCAAATTATGGCAAAGTTCACTCATATATACCTGTACTAAATACTTTCAAATCATAGATCTGTCACTTGAAATATTATCACAATACCATATTTACATGTGTATATATATATATATATATATATATATATATATATATATATATTATTTATGTACTTATTTATTTATTTATACATACATCCATTTTAAAATATTCAGAATAGACCACATGCAGATAACAAACTTTTGTTTTATTATAGGTTATAATAATAGGGTATCAGATGTTTATTTTTGGTGAATAATGAAAAAGCGTTGTCAACAAATTAACACCACCCCATAAAGCAATAAACTTAATCTTGAAATATGTAAATTAAAGATAAATTATACAAAAATATGTCCGCGACACAATTTTATGCCACTAATTAGAAAAAATATTTAAATATACTATAAATGAATAAATAAATAAATATACTATGAAAATATATAATATGTTAACATAACTCACCATGGTTCAACGTCGGTGAATATCTAGATGACGGCCGACAGGTTCTAAAACAAGCATAAATATCGACTTAACACTAGCTTTTGAAGAAATTATGTCTTTTCAATAGATTAGGTATAAATACAAATTAGAAGCACAAACACAAATTGTAAACAAAATCAATTATAAGACACTAGAAGTTAAATTACACAAAGAAATTATAATTACAGCATAATTCAAGTCTCTTCGAAAACTAGTAAGTTGCTGATATGTTTGATTTAATTTATTATTTTTGTATTCTTTCGATTTAGTCCCAAATCTCAGGCCATATTTCAATTTATTTTCTAAGATAGTTTGCTTGAATTATATCTGGAGATCATGATATCCGCCAGAAATGCCCAGTTATAAAGTAGCAGGCAATGTAGTAATTGATTTCTCGCAATGGCGATTCAAGAACCAACAAGTTCTCAAAGCAAGCAAGCCAACCTTCAAATATCAAAATGACCTGTGACAATATGGCTACTTCGAAACTACGCCCTAATTATCAATAATTTATTGATCATGTTACATCACCCTAATTACTCTTAGATGAGTTCAAAGTAATTTTTGTACCACTTGGCGGGTGAAATCACAAAAATTTTATTTGTACGATGTAATCTGAGCAGTATCAAGTTCCATTAATTACATAAATGTACGAATGAATTATATTTATTGTTATAATTTACTTTGCAATATTTTACCTAATAATATGAACTTAGAATATATTTCTTATTGTTTCGTGCCATCAGTTGGATTATAATAGTTCTAATATATATATAAATATAATTTTTAATATGTAATGCGCACAAAGTAATATACACAACAAATTACAGTAATATATCTGTACGTAGATACACCGCGTAACACAAATTCACCTCCGGCCACCAAGGAAAAAGGAATGTGTCGTGTGCCCTAAAATCGACTCGTATGTGTACGTGTCACTCGGAAACCGAGTTCTATGCATAATATTTAAGTGTTGCCAGAACTAATGGAACAGAATCCTATTCGTTTTATTGTAAGGGAATTGACACACGCGTCGATACTTCGATATTTATCTATTGTTTACGATAACTACGAGAACACCCTAATTATTAAATTAATTAAGATTTAAAATTCATCATACATACATTACGTACATAAATTTATTACGTAAAACTTTATATTTTTTTCAAGAGAATTATTAAAACCTTACATAATTTAATGATCAAACACCGTGCTATTGAATAGAATAAATATTTAATAATTCGAAAACCCCTATTTTGTTTCGAACAAAATTGCATAATACTACCTAAACAATATGTGAATATAATAATATATTAATATCTTGATACAATACAATGCAACCATACTGTCTTATTCCTGATCACAACTCTCGTATGTGTTTTTACCATTCAGCCCGTGTGGCGGGTGCCTTATAACTTTGACAGTTTATCTTGAAGGAACTTGATTGTCTACAGTTCTACAATAGAATGTATATGACTTTGTTTTGATTTTGAAATATTTTAGACTAATCTCGAAAATATCGTACAAATTTTTGAATTTAAGTGTGTTGCAAAAGAAAATAGAGATGGAATTTCAAAGTAAATTTTAGAATGTTTTCAACAGTTGTTTTTTTATGTCAAAAGTAAATAATTCTATTGTATTTCCAGGACTCGTTAAAAAAAAGAAAAAGGCAGTAATTGCCGACGATAAATTAAATATTGCAAAAACAAGTAACGATTTGGGCAATTGGTACAATACTCATGGAAAATATGACAATGCTTTGAAAGAATACAAATGTGAAGCCAATGCTTATTCAGTATTGGGGCTACGACTTGAAAATGCAAGAGCACATCGTATGATTGGAGAAATGTACATGTTGTCATCACAATTTTCAGAAGCATTGAAACATGAAGAAATTCATTTGGGTTTGTCTATTTTATTGGCTGATCGTATTCTCTATTATATTTCAGCACGGTTCTGTAATTTTTTTACTGGTCTATATAATATTAATTGTAGTGTGCTGCTCTGAGTTTACAATTTAATAAATAAGATTCTTTGTGGTAAAAATATTGAAAACAATTTTAGATACAGCACGAGACTTAAATAATAAAATAGAAGAGCAGAGAGCCCTTGCCACTATTGGAAGAATACATTTATTACATGGGCAGAGTGTAAATGATTCTAATTTAATGAAACAACAATTGAAATTGGCAGAGAAGTCATTTATGAAAAGTTTGTTGCTGTGTGAGAGGTGTGTAGTGTACATAATTATATATATATATATATATATATATATATATATATATATAAATGATTGTGTGTGAAACACCTATGAATTGAATATATTTTCAGTGTATCTAATTGTCTAACATATTATTAGTTTAAAGGGAGAAATTTCTAATCATGAGCTTATGGATATGCGTGCACGGCTGTTGTTAAACCTTGGTGTTGTATTAGAACATTTACAAAACTATGAGCGATCAATAGACTTCATGGATCGAGCAATAACAATTTGCACAAAACAAGAGTTATTTGAACTGCTACATCAGTGCTATTTAACAAAAGGTTCATTATTGTACCATAGAAAGCAGGACTATTGCCAAGCACTGCAATTTTTCAATAAGTCATTAAATATTGCAGAAAGGTTTGAGTTGTGACAATAAATAAGCAATATAAAATATATATTAATAATTAAATTTCATTGAAAACTGGTATTACTGATTGGTGTTAATGTTCTACTATTTTATTTATATTTAACACTTGAATCAAACTTAGCCTCATAATTAAAGTATCGGCTAAGTCATAGATAGTATTATAAAATCTTTAAAAGCTTGAAGTTATTTTGCTAGTGGTATAGTATTACAGTAGATGTTATACCGTTTTTAGATTGACAGACAAAGTGCTGAAAATGTGTGAATCTTTGTCAATGAAAGCAGAAGTATATATTTCGCAGTACGATCTACAAAGTGCAAAGCATATGTTCATAAAAGCATGGAAATTGAAATGCCCTGATGAAACTGAGAGAAAAACGATTGAAAAAAAGTTGAAAATAGGTATGGAACTTGAAATAATATTTCTGATATTAATGATAATATTTCTGATTTAATGTAATTTTCAGTTGCCAGTATGTGCTACACTGATGATGCCTTAATATGCATTAAAGATACTAACTATGAAATGAGGAAAAGTCTGAATGAAAAAATGGCTGATGGTTATTGCTTTTTTAAAAAATACTCGAAAGCCATTACATATTATTTGAGTATGCTCGAATGTGCTGAATTGAATAATGAGAAAGGCAAAGATTTAATTCCTATATATGTGAGTCTATACCAAACCTATCGAGATAATAATCAGTATGATGAAGCATTAAAGTACTACTGGAAGGAATATGATTTATGCTCAGATATCCCTAGAGAAGCATTTAATACATTAATGAATATTTCAGAAGTATTAGAACTTTCGAACAAAGAATATGAAACCATTGAAGCAGTTTATAATAAAGCACGACAAGAGGTAGAATTATAAATAAAAGTATCCATATCATATTGTGGTCCTAGCATTGTGTTGAAGTTTGTTATTACATATTTAAACACATAGTCCTTTGTTTTATAGGCAAAGAAATTAAATCGAGATTCATTAGAAATGCTATGCATGAAAAAACTAATTAATTTGAGAAGACAATATAATAAAACTGCAGAAGCTGATAAACTTCAGAGAGAATTAGATGATTTAAGAAATCGTGTAGAATCTAGTGACAGTTCAGATTCTGAAAATACTTCACTATCAGAGAACACTCCAAACATAGGGGATGATATATGCATTGAAGATTTATCAGGTATATACACATATATATATATATATATATATATATATATATATATATATATATATATATATATATATATATATATGTGTGTGTGTGTGTGTGTGTTTGTGTTGTTTTTTGTATAGCAAAGGAAATGCATTTATGCATCCCAGACTGGTCTTTTGCCTGGGTATGTCGGACTCAATACAGCCATGTGTGTGTGTAAAATGTATACAATCAACACTACAAACATTATTTTCATTAAGGTATTTCTGATCCTGAAGAAATTGAAATCACTAATCGAGCACACAGCACACGGAAAAAAGGTAGGACATGGATTGTGAAAAAAAATGACAAAGGAGAAACTCAGCTTCATACTGCTTGTATATCAGGAAATATCACTTTAGTCCAAAGATATCTTAATCAGAAACATCCAGTAAATATCCGCGATAATGCCGGATGGCTACCATTACATGAGGTATGTTTGCTTGTTGTATTTTGTGAATTGTATATATATATATATATATATATATATATATATATATATATACACATATATATATATATATTAGGGTGGTCCTTAAAAAGGTCATTTTCGAATTTCCTTGCTCCCAGGGGCTCAAATGGTTCCAAATAGATAAAAAACAATTCTCTGAAAGTTTTAGCTCTTAATATTAACGTTTAGATAGAGCGCAATTCAATCAAAGTTTGTATGGAAAGAGCATGGTAAAAAATTTGAAAATTAAAAAAACGTGTTTTAGGCGTAACTTAGCGACAAATGAATGAGTTTTATTCATTCATTTGTTCGCTAAATTACATCTAAAAAACATTTTTTTAATTTTTGAAAATTTTTGCATGCTATTTCCATACAAAACTTTGATTGAATTGCGCTCTATCTAAACGTTAATATTAAGAGCTAAAACTTTCAGGGAATCGTTTTTTATCTATTTGGAACCATTTGAGCCCCTGGGAGCAAGGAAATTCGAAAATGACCTTTTTAAGGACCACCCTAATATATATATATATATATATATATATATATATATATACATATATATATACATACAGTATGAATGAATATATTCTATAGGCTTGTTTATATGGCCATAAAGAAATAGTGCAGTTATTATTAGAGGCAGGAGCCCATATTAATGACAGAGGTGGCACTGCATGCGATGGTAAGACATTTGCTATTTTAGGAGATAATTTTAGGTTGATAACCATAAAGTTTTTTATTATCAGGAATTACACCACTCTATGATGCTGCTAGCAATGGTCATTTACAAGTTATTGAATTGTTGTTAAATCATGGAGCATCTGCTAAATTATTAACAGATGATGGCCAATCGGCCTTAGATGTACTTATGAAATGGAAAGAAAGTGTTCATCTTGATCAAACTGAATCAGTTTATTATGAACTCATTTATAATAAATTAAGAGCAGCAACAGGAAAACAGTTAGATACTGCACAGAATGTACAAAGTCAAGTATTTAATACGAAGAACTCCAATATGAAATTGAATCATGAGAAATTTCCAGTGAATTTGAGATACGCAATTAATGATTTTAGTGATGAGGAAGATGAAAAGAAAAAGAGTTTAAGTCCAAAAGATCATAGTTTAAGAGCTGAGAATAGTGCTTGTTTGGAATATCAAAATATCATGAAAAATTTACGAAATCGTGCATCAGAATCTAAGTCACTTCCGAATAGTGACAATGAAAAAAAGAGATCAGCCCTGCTCGATGTGAATGATGTTGTAGATAATTGGCTGGAGGATGATTTACAACACAAACGGAAAAGACGGAAAGTTTCACTTAATAGAGGCAATTCAAGTACAAATTATTCAAGTGAAAGCTTATCCATTGAAGCCATAACTGAAAAACGCCTTGAAAACATTGATTCAGGTGGTGCAAAAAAAAACGCTGCTGGCAAGAAACATCAAATTTCTTTACTGGATTCTGGTTTTACGAAAGAAAAAAGTGTATCACCTAATATTGATGAAATGATTAATAATTCAGATTTTGTGACCACTCCTATTATCAGACCACAATCACCTATGAAAACACAATTTCAAACTAAGCAATCTGTAAATTATTCCCTCCAAAGTGTAGTCCCTCCAATACCAGTAAAAGTTAGAGTTGCAGACAGGGTGTTGGTAGTTCCGGTCATGTCAAATTTGATACAATCATTAGATATTGCATGGCTTTCAAAAGAAACTTCTAAACGTTATTATAAGTATGTAACCCCATTTAATTTTTCAAGTTTCAAAAAATACATGCACGTTCAACACTAAACCATTTAATATTTAATTTTCTTAAATATAATTAAATACAATTAATAATTAAAAATAAAACAATTCACCGTCATAATTAATATTTCAGCTTGGTGGGATTAGAACCATGCTTAACTCTAATGACGCCAGATGGAGCTATACTAACGCAGGATGACCCTCTGAGTCTTGTTCTCGGTATACCTGAACTACAATCAAATATTTTGAAATGGAATTTGCCTCCTCTTCATGAAAGATATTTAGAAGCTTGTAGTCAGCTCAATACCAGTATGTGATATAATGAAAAATAATCCAATGATATTTAGATATTCACACAACTTTTTCTTTCAGTTGTGGACAACAATTTACAAAATTTACTAAATATATGTCAAGCCACACAAATATTAAACTTGTCCAATTTATGGCTATCAACTGCTCAGGTTCAACCAGTATTCAGAAGCTTGAATCACCAAGCAAGCTTAAGAGTGTTAAATTTAAAAGGCAATATGATAACTGATGCTGGAATCAAAATGCTGTGCACATCATTGCCAAGTATGCAGCAATTAAAAGAGCTGAATTTAAGTTTAAATAGTTTAACACATAAAAGTTTATATCATTTCGCTGAAATGTTATCAGAAAAGATATGTCTGCAGGAACTTGAGGAGCTAGATATTAGTTTTAACCCACTATATAATGAAAGCTTTAAATCTTTGGCCAACATTTTGGAAAAGTTAAAATTGAAAAAAATTGTGTTGTCATCATGTGATCTTGAAGGTTCTAACAAAAAGTTAGTTCTACCTTTAAATAATATAGTTTGGCTTGACATTAGCCATAACAGCTTTCAAGATAAATGTATTGAGGATATATTTTCTAACTTAGATGGTGAAACAATCGAGTATTTAAATTTAAGCAACACTTCATTGCCTGGCGACACATTAGTGGATAAACTGGTTGCTTTTTTAAATGCTAGCAGCTTAAAAAATTTGACTGCTTTAGATTTATCTGGCTGTGATATTTCCGACACATACTTAAATCAAATCCTTCATGCATTAATTAGAGCTAAAAAATTTCATACATTTACACTAGCAAATAATTTTCAATTATCTTCAATTTCATTGAGGAGATTATTACAACACAGACCCTGCATTAAGAACATCTTTTTAGAAGGCTGTACAGATATTCTCAAATATCTAGCCATTTCAAATGTTTATGAAGATATTGATAATTTGGCTCCTGAAGAAATTTCGATGAGCGTTAATAAAAATGCAATAGAGGAAGTTGCCAAAATGGATATCATAATAAATATGTGGATGAAATTATGGGGCGACCAAGCTGTGATTAAACATGGACCATTTGGTGAATTGCGTTTAAGCACTAGTAAACATTAAGGAACACGTTATTTATTGTGTATATAATATTTATATTTTTATTGTATTATTAAATTAAATATTTTATATTAATTATTTACAAGTTCTATGAACACAAATGTATTGTTAAATAATTATCGGAACATATCAGCAAAACTTTTATCAATAATCTTCATGTGTTGTTTTTAATGCAATATTATAAGATGGAATCTAATTTCTATTTTATTTGATGTTTCAAATTTTTAATCTTTTATATCTCTGATTTACCTTTAATAACTGTACATTAGAGATTTTCCTGCACATACCCCTTCATACATAATTCTTCTTGTGATTCAGAAATTTTAGCAATCAGGTTAAGATGAAAGTAAAGCAAGTAGATGATTCTCTATAACACTCTGGGCTGAAAATGAAGATTCAAGTAAACTGACAAACATTAAAAAGTTATATTAACATACAGTAGTACCCCGCCTTACAAGCCTTCACAATTTCGAGATATTTATAAGAATTATATAAACTGAATTACTAAAGTAGTTGAGTTAAAATTATTCACTTAAAATATATAAGTGAGCTTTAGAACTTTAACCGGAATTAAAATTAAAATCTGAATTATTTTCAATATACAAAAAAATTTTTTTTTGAAAAGAAAACCTTTTTTTCCAAAAGCAATTGTTCCGTCAACACAAGCAGAAAGTTTTTTGAATTATTCAAATCGGAGCTTATTTCTCTCAAAAACTGCCATTTTTTGTACATTTAGCTTGGTATCTTCAAAATGGCTGGACCTGCCTTTGCCAAAAACCAATCACCACTTCTTCCAATCATTACAAATTAAATGCTTTTAGATCATTTAAATCGGATGCACCGTTCTCTTAGTTTATATCATTTCGCTCGCTATCTAATTCTGCACTCTTTGCTCTTTATCTCCGTAATGGTTGGGCCTGTCTGCCAAAAACTAATCAACACATCTCCCTATCAATAGGAATCGAATGCTTTTTTAAACCACTCAAATTGGTTGATCCGTGCGCCCGAAAACGTGAACGAAAAAATGCGGATTTTCTGGCCATTACTATAACTACCCTGCGGGAAGTTAACAAGAATTTTCATATGTAAAGTAGCAATTAACTATCATAAAAAATATTTTAAAGTTAAAATTTTTAATTCAATTTATATTAGTATTGTGAATTTGTTTGTGCAAAGTGGGAAAAAGTTGAAAAGTTTGTGGATAAAAATGGGTGCATTTTCACCCTGAAAATGATACAACCAGTCGAGCATCAGAACTGTTTGACGAAACATGTCTTTTCGTCACTTATTTTTGCAATACTATAATAGGTTGAAGAAAAAAATAATGCTAATTGAATAATTTTTTCAATGCAATAATTTGTATAACGATTATTTAGTCATTTTATATTCAGTAATTTGCTATGTTTTTACAGAATATGTATTTGACCTAAAGTTTTAATTACTTTATTGTCAAAAAAAAACATTGTGCTTAAGCAAATTAATGACATTTCAATATATTTATATGGAAAAAATTGAGATACGAGCAATTCGACATGCAAGCATGGTTACTGAACGAATTATGCGTGTGAGGCAGGGTACCCCTGTATTTTGTTTTAAAATAGAAATGCAGCTCTTTTGCAAACATATTAACTATCAAAGTAAATTTAATAAGAACTTGAACCGATTATCAATTATGGTAATGCATAAATGTTTTTGTAACCTGCATAAGATTTCTTCCTTATTGCCAAACTGTATGGGGTATCATCATTTTCATTATTTAAAGTTAAATCAGCACCTTTTATAAGAAGATTATGGCAAGAATGTGGGTGATTACCAGCTGCAGCATATGCCAATGCAGTATTTCCAAGCTAAATATATAAAATAATTCAATTACCTATTTATAAACAATGACCTTGTGTCAATGTTACAATAGTGGAGAAGATGCAAAATATGATTTTAGAAATACTCATGCTAACTTGCACTTGTGCATTTTACACCAAACAAGTATTAAAAAAATACCATTATAAAAATGTAAGAAAAATATTTTCTGCATTATAATTCTTTAATAATTAACTTGATATAATTATAATAGACCATGTTTCTCTACTTACAATATCACAATGATTTACATCTGCCCCATGTTCTAATAGTAATTTAATTGTATCATAGTGTCCACCAGCAGCTGCAAGAAGTAGCGCTGTTTCACCTTCGGGCCCTAGTTTATCTACAGAAGCTCCATACTGAAGGAGCATATTTACAGTACATGTTTGGCCATAATATGATGCCCAATGCAAACTAGTATAACCATTGATATCGACAGTATCGCATCCCTCAGAGCAAATCTGTTTGATTGTTATCTCACCTTGAGCAGCCCGAGCATGGAAATTGAATTTTATTTCTTCTCCGCTCTTTGCTTCAGTATTACCCCTTTGCAAATTTGTTAATACAGTACTGACTGGCCTATAAGGCAGAAAGGCACTTTTTCTAGAGCCCCACTTCCATTTCAAAACACTTTTGATGCTATTATTTTCAGAATCTGTGTCACAATCGCCATCAATATTTTCTGATTTAATAGCTGGAATCATGTTATTGGGAATTCAACCCATTAATTTGTTTGCTCGTACAAATATGCGTTATTCCTATACATTAATCATGCATTTCAAATACTGCTTTGCAATAATAAACATTCTTCACAATTTGACAGTTCGATCGTTTGATTTTGTTGGGACAGTTCGTAACTCTCTTAACTGTGGTTCGTTTTCTTTATGGTACCCATCCACTAGGCAACCAGGCAACCGAGCAATTTATGACAAAATGACCAATAAATGTCGACTTGTAAATTTTTTTGGTGTCCCAGAAAATCGAATAAAATTTCATTCATTTTTCTTGAACATTAGAGAAAAAAGTTGGTATATTTCGAACGTGTAATGAGATAAAATCGACTTTTGTTGCAAATTTTGGTTCACTTTTCATTTTATTAAACATTGATTTTTATAAAAATTATATTAAAGTTTTTTATTTAACATTAATGTTGTACATTTGCAACAGATGAATTCGGAATGAATTTTGTCACGAATAAATAGCACGAATTATTGTTCAAACGTAGTCCGATAGCTGTTATAACAAAATATTCACGTTTTACATTATATTAGCATCTAATTTTAATCTAAACAATGGCCTTAATCTTGGAATATACGTCTACATTTACCCAAGAATGCCCATAACAAAAAAGTTTTTGAGCATTAACTTCCCGTAGGGTGGTTATAGTAATGGGCCGAAAATCGAAAATGAAATTTTTTACATATCTTCACGTTTTGAAGGTTTCTTAACATTTTGGCATACCCAAGAAATAATGAATGTGTGTGTACGTATGTATGAATACAATTTTTCTTCCACGTTTTCGGGCGCACGGATTGACTGATTTGAATGGTTCAAAAAATATTCGTTTCCTAATATTGATAGGGAGATGTGCTGACTAGTTTGTGGGAAAGGCAGGTACAGCCGTTATGGAGATACGGAGCAAAGAGTGCAGAAAACAGAAATCGATCGATTTTTTGAGAGAACGGAGGATCCGTTTTGAATGATTCTGCTTGTGTTGACGAATGCTTTTGAGAAAATAATTTAAAAAAAAATATTCATTTTTTTACGAATTACTTAAGTAATCTCAAATACTCAATAATACCCAGTAAACATGCGATATGGCCACAACATCGTGGCAATATTTTATTTAGGTCGTGTGACATGCGGTTCCCATATTCATTGTCCTCGATATTTAATGGATACGGCCGCAAATTTATGTAACTATCGAACAACTATCGAGGTTCGGTCTCTGGCGCACGTGGCGTTCGTGATACATGAAAATCGACGTTGACCCACATATGTTTGTTTATTATGATAAGACCGTCTGACGTAAGGCGTTCACCCCAGTCATGACGTCATTGGCGAATGAAAACGATTCGGTCATGACGTCATACAAAATGGCGACTCATGACGTAATAGCACCTGAAAGTGATGACGTAATGCAATTAATATTCTTTTCTGTACGAATAAGCATTTATTTACGTGAATAATAAGAAATTTTACAATATTTAAATATTACAAATTAGAATTGTAGTTTTGAAATTATAAAATTTTAACATGAACTATACTAGAAAACTTTTTACAAATTATTCAATCTTAACATATTAATAACAGTATATTTAATGAAAATTGTTGTATATCTAATGAACGTAATTCTATTTTTGGGGCGTGAAGTGTGAAGTGTTGCATAAGTATTCTATCGCCACTTCCTTATACATCAAACAGCCTGCCTATTTTTCATTATTTCATTCTATCGCCAGTTCATTGCATCAAATGCCAGGATACAGATTATGCACATATGACATACTGCCCCAAATTTTGGAAGTTTTCTAAAACAAATTCAAACATAATGTGATTTACTGTATATAATATATTATATATACAGCTACCATATGTGTAGCTACCTACATGTTCAGTGTACAAATCTCATCTCCATCATCTTAAAGTCGCTTTTACACATACATTTTTAACACTGACTGATTTCATTCTATCGCCAGTTCATTACATCAAATGCGAGGATACAGGATATTCATATATGATGTACTTCTTGGAAGTTTTCTAAAACAATTTGAAACATAATGTGTTTTATTGAATCTAATAATATATATACACTCCATATGTGTAGCAACTTACATATTCAGGAGACAAATCTAAATCGTCTTCGAGTCGCTTTTGCACATACATTTTTTTTAACCTGATTGAATTCATTATATCTTCAGTTCATTATACATCAATACATCAATCAAGTTCATGCATATATGACATACTGTTCCCAATTTTAGAGGTTTTCTAAAACAATTATAAATATAATGTATTTGTTACCAAATAATATATATACAGCAACTATATATGAATCAACTTACATATTAAGAAGATAAATCTCCATTATCTTCAAGTTGCTCCTAAACATACATTATTTGAGCCTGTCTAAAGATCTGTATATTGTTCATCGTTTCATTCCAATTTTGTACGACTTCTGAAATAAATATGAACATGGCATACGTGTTTGCTGTTTATATATATTTGTATAGCTATTATATTTGTAGTGACTTACATATTCAAACAATCATTCTCGATCCGCTTCTCAACCGACTAATTTAAGAGATTTAAGAAGTGAGGTTATGTCGAACACATGGATATGTTAATGTCTTAATTTAGTAAAATAATTATTTTACCTTGATAAACGATCCTTATTATTGTCCTCAGATTTTGTAAGATATGCTATTTGGTTACCTCCTTTGTCATCTAAAGAAATCGACATAAAATAACGTTTCTTCATCCCAGGATATAATGCACTAAATGGAATTCAAAATCGTGAAGTAATTACATATCTATATAAATAATATATGATATACTTACGGTGTCATTTTTCTACACTTTTCTACAATTATCATAAACAAGTTGCTTAACTAAACGAATGTAATTATTATACTAAAGAAAATATAACTTGATGCATGATAAATTCGTGACATTTTGCGCCATTTTGTCAAAGAAACAGTCGGTTCCACCAGTGGCCACGGCGCGCTGATGTAAAGCTTTCTTTGTATGGTCACACACACCAGCACACAACGCACACAACGCAGCGCACGACGCGTTTGCTTCACGCCGTGTGACGTCATTGATTATGCTTTGCATGTGTGCTAACACACACCAGCGCACGACATGTATCTCACATGAAATTCAACGATGTCATTACCCCCGACAGCGCGTGTTTATGTCTCGTGAGACAACTCAATGCGAGCTTTGGTGTGTATTGTAACACACACAAGCGCACGCAAGTTTAAAATCCTCTTGTGGCGTAGATTCGATAACCGCATTATAATACGATGTCGATATTATAGAAGATCACATCGCGTGTTTACTGGGTATTTCATTATGGTA